GCTGGGGCGGGCGGGGTCCTGGCAGCAGCTTGGGCGGCCGCCAGCCTCTGCACCCAGTGGAGCCCAGCAGCCCCGTGGACTTTGAACCCACCGCGTCCCCCGGAGGCTTGGGCAGAAGGCTGGGCCCTAGGGCAGGACCTGGGTGCTAGGAATGAGGGTGGCGTGGGCAGTTATGACCCAGCCCGGTAGCTTCAGTGTGCCATCTGGGCTTGGATGCCCCATCCCAGGAACTCCCGGGAGAAGGGAGCAGTGACCCTGCCTGGGGTCACGGAGACCAGAGAGGGCCGAGCTGGGGCAGGGGAGAGAGGGGCCACTGCTTCTGGGCAGCACTGTCCTGGTTTGTCCGTCTGTCCATGGACCTGGCTGGGCTTGGCAGACCACCCCCTGCTCTCCGGAGGTGGCCAGGGTGGCCAGCTGACCCAGATCCAGCCCTGCTGTCCCTCGGCCACCTGTTCTCTGCTTGCTCCCAGCTCCTGGTCACACTGGAGCCTGGGGACCCTGCTCTCTGGCCCGCCTTGCCCCCGGGATGACCCTGAAGCCTAGTCCCTTAGAGCAGGGTCCCAAAGGGGCAGCAGGGTGCCAGGATGGGTCTCTAGGAGTCAAGAGCCTTAGATCTGGAGCTGGGCTGCAGGTGAAGGTAGTGAGCCCCGATCTGTGGTTTGGGCAGGGGGCCAATGGCCTCCTCTGCCCTCTGACAGGGGCTGGTCCTTTGGGAAGCAGCCCTGTGCCCCAGGCTAGAGCACCTGGACCTCAGTGGTCACTCTGCCAGCTGAGCCCTGCCTGTGGGTGAGCATCCTCCAGGATCCTGCCCTCCCGGGCCTGGGGACACTGCAGACTCCTGGGCAGGCTGTGCCGCCTGCGGGCAGATGGCCCAGCAGGGCACCCTTTCTGATTCACACCAAGTCTCCAACATGCACCCCTTGGGTGTGGCTTGAGGTGGGCTCCCCGGGAGGGACACCCTGGGCACAGCAGGGCACTGCACCTGGCCGACCTGGCCCACAGAGCCCGCATCCGGGCCCCACTGCAGAAAGCAGTCTACACAGCTGCTCCTCTAATTTCACTCCTGTTTCCTCCGAGGCTAATGACGGCGGCCCTGGGAAATCGAACCCCCTCATTAACAGCTGCCTGTCAGATCTCCCGTGGCCCAGGGTTGTCGAGCTGTGACCTTGTCTCCCCACGTCCTCGGAGGCCGTAGAGGTAGAAAGGGGCTCCGGGTGTTTATGGGGACTTGATGGCCTCTGTTCCCCCATCGCCACGTCTGAGAAGACACCGTACTGGCCCCCTGGCCGTGGCACCGAGAGACGGAGGGGACACTGTAACTCCTAGAGGCCCCGACCTCTGCCGCCCACCAGTGCCCCAGACATGGCCACATGCCTCAGCCTCTGGAATGCAGCCCTCGAGCCCCTCCGTCCTGAGTCTCTGCCTTCAGGTCCCTCTGTCCTGAGCCAGAGGAGAGCTCTCCAGGCCCTGGGAGAGGAGGCCACTGCCCAGCTGCTGTGACAGAGAAGGTCACGCCGGCCAAAGGCTTTGCTTTATTTCATGCTGGGACCAAAGGCTCGTGAGTGCCCTCTCCACCATCTCACCGAGGCAGCCGGCACTGTCCACGCCCAGCCTCCTCCACTCCTGGCTCAATCGCATGGAGCAAAGTCCCCGAGCTGGGGTCATTTCCTGAGTCAGGTGCATAGTCCCCCAGGGCCCTGTGCCCGCCCGGCTCAGCCTCCGGTCAGGTGGCTCTGCTGTGGGAAAGAGGAGTTGGCTGGGCGTCTGCAGGAGAGGCGTGTGGGAGGCCCCGGGCGCTGTCCCACTGAGGGTGGGGACCGAGCAGGGGGATTAGGGAGGCCAAGGCTTTCCTCCTGTTGTTTCCACCAGGAAACTCGCAGAGCCAGTCCGAGGGTCCTCGCTCCCGGGAGGTTTCCAGCAGCGGGGGGCCTGGCCTCACATGGTGTAGGCCGCCCAGTAGATGACGTTGACAGCGGCGAAGGCTGCGGGGAACACTGCGCGGGCGTAGATGTCGATGGTGTCTGCGTCGATGGGCTTGAAAAGGGCACGGAGGCCTCCCTGTTTCTCGGACTCCCCCGTCTCCACCTCCACCGACCTGTAGGAGCCCATGAGGTTCCCGGGCATGCGGCTCGGCCGGCGGGACACAGCCAGCTCCTGGGAGATGCCGGCGGCCGAGAGGGAGAACAGTACAATGGCGTTCTTCACGTCCATCTGCAGGAGCAGGAGGCAGGGCTGAGCGGGCAGCCGGGCCCGAGATGACCAGAGGCTGCCCCACGGGACCCCTGCCCGGGCCAGCGACTCTGTGACCCTCAGCAGCCGGAAGCCAGGGAGTCCCCAGAGCAGTCGGCAGGGTCCGGGGTTGGGCACAGGAACCGGTGGCTGCCTACCCCCTGTGCCCTGAGTGTTTGGGGGGCGCTGTCCTTGGTCCTGAGCTCCAGATAACAGGAGGGGCCCATCCTCACCTCTGCCCTCTGCCGTGTGACCTTGACCTTGACCTTGGCCTTTCGCTTCTTCCGGTAGTCGGCATTGAAGTGAGCGAAGGCATATTCCACCAGGGCCGCGAACACGAACACGTAGCAGATCCAGAAGTACACGTCCAGGGCCTTGATGGCCGACGCCCGCGGGAGGGAGGAGCGGGCGCTGACCATCAGGGTGGTCATGGTCAGCACCGTGGTGATGCCTGTGGGAGTCAGTGGCGGTGACATCACTGCGCCGGCCCCAGCCAGGGAGCAGGCCGGGCTCCTCTGACCAGGCTTGGCCTGGCCGGCCTCTGCCCCAGGACGGCCGGCTCCAGGGGCAGGGGCAAGGCCCGGGTTCATGGCTAACGGGGTCTCAGTCCTGCTCCCAGTGCCTGCCCTTCCCCCAGTCCCCTGGCAGGAGAGGCTAGGCCGGTACCTAGAGACACCCTGGCGGGCACAGCGGCTTGGCTGATCCAGAAGGAGACCCAGGACATGGCGACCAGGAGAATGGAGGGCATGTAGGACTGCATGATATACACACCGCGGTTTCTCCGAAGGTGGAAGTACAGGCTGAGCCGAGGGAATTGGCCGGCTGCAGGGGGAATACCAACCTGTCAGGACCCAGCACGGTCCTGCCCCGTCCCCTGCCACTTACCATGGCCCTCAGGGCCACTGCCAATCTCAGGAGAAAGGAGGAGCCTAGACTCTTGCCTTCCCCACCTCCCCCCACAGCCAGGTGGGCCGGGGGTCTCACCAGCCCTGGGCCTGGCCACCCACAGGGAGGAGAGGAGGAAGATTCCACGTCCGTTCCTGGGGCCGGCCCTCCTCTCCTGGGCCTCCTCCCTGCACAGCCGAGCTCCAGGAAAGAATAGGGCTGGGCTCACAGGCCCTGATGACCAACCAGGCAGGAGGGGCCAGGACACAGGGCAGCCCCCAAGGCTCGGCCCCTGAGCCCCTGCAGTCCTGGGGCTCAGGGAGCACCCCACAGCCCTCAGGTTGCCCCCAAACCCAGAGTGCTGCTAGTCCCCCAAGGAAGAGCCAATAAGCTGACCCACATCCACACTGCAGTGCGACCGGTGCCCATCAGTGATTTACAGCTGCACCCTCAGGGTCCTCAGGGTCCTCGGAGCTGGCTAGTGGCTCAGCTAAATGCCCAGGGAAACCAGGAGCAGGGCTCCCAAGCAGAGGCCACGAGAGGCCACGTTACCCGACTTGAAGTTCATGAGCTCCGTGGTAAAGCGGTAGCTGGTGATGGTGAACTGGGCCAGCTGCAGCTTGTCCAGCCCGTGGATCTGCTCCTGGTTCTCAGACCAGTAGTAGACGATGTCCTCGGACGAGTAGCCATCTGCGGGAGAGCCCAGCCCCCTCAGCCTCTGGCAGCCCCGGGCAGGAGCACCCTGCCCAAGTGGGGAGCCCCAAACAGCAGCGACTCCAGGAGCAAGGAGGCCTCAGGCAGGTGGACGGGGCCAGAAGAGCTGGCAGGGGTGCAGGTCACCATCGCCAGGAGGCCCCAGGGGCTGCCGAGGTGGCTCAAGGATGCAAGTACCTGCCTTGTATCCTCCGTGGAGCGAGAGGCCTGGGCAGGAACAGAAGGGGCTCCGAGGCCTGACTGTCCAGGGCAGAGCCCTGACCCATAGGAGGTGGGCCAGGCTGCTCAGGCCCCAGAGCCTCTGCTGTTCTTGCCCAGGTCTCTTGCTCCACGGACACCTCCCTCCCTGCCCCTGAGCCAGGCCAGTTGCACAGGGTCCTGACGGCCCAAGTCCCCCACCCTCCGACAAAGAAGTCCCAAGAAGCAGGGTGGCTGCCCGGGCAGGGCCCGGCCCAGCCTGTCACACTCACAGCTCTCCAGGTGCAGCGTGCACTCCTGCTCGTCCATGGGGTACTTGGCCAGGTCCATGTCACACGACACAGTGGAGGTGATTCTGCACAGACAACACACCGGTGGGATCCCTGGGGCGAGGCCAGTCCCTGGAGCTGGCATCTCCCTGACCCAGCAGGCACAGAAGCCCCTGTGCCCACCCAGAGGGGCATCTCACAGGAGCTCGGCCTCGCCACCTCGTGCATGGGGTTTGACGGCTTCTGGGGGGAAACTGAGAATTGTGGGTCTTCCTTCAGGAATGAAGGGCTGGATTCAGTCACTTTCTTCATCTTTCAAAATGCTGGACTTTGGCCCTCGCCAGTGTGGCTCAGCGGTTAGAGCCTCGGCCTGTGCACTGCAGGATCTCAGGTTCGATTCCCGGTCAAGACCAGGGTTGCAGGTTCGATCCCCAACCCCAGTAGGGGCTCGTGTAGGAGGCAACCAATCGATGTTTCTCTCTCTCTCTCTCTCTCTCTCCCCTCCACTTTCTCTAAAAAGCAATGGAAAAAATATCCTCAGGTGAAGATTTAAAAAAAATTAAAAATTAAAAAAATAAAGCTGGGCTTTGTGGCTAAGCTGGGGCCCAGAAAGCAGGTCCAGCCTGACCCTCCGCNCCCCCTCCACTGTCTCTAAAAAGCAATGGAAAAAATATCCTCAGGTGAGGATTTAAAAAAAATTAAAAATTAAAAAAATAAAGCTGGACTTTGTGGCTAAGCTGGGGCCCAGAAAGCAGGTCCAGCCTGACCCTCCGCCCACCCCAGGGATAGCCCCAGGCATTCCCGCTGACCTTGGGTGGGAGAAGACCCAGAGGCCAAGTGTCCTGATTTTCCAAGAGAATTTACATTCCTATGTAAACCCCCTGATTTTTAAAATGTTGGCAATTAATTCCATTTTTAAAAGGCATGTGTCCAAAAACACGTGTTCAACTACATGAACACGCGTGTTCATAGCAGTACATACAACTCACAGTTGGCAGGAGGTAGACACAGCCCAGGGTCCACAGATGGGCGAGTGATGCAGAAACTGGGGGACCCACGGATGGGACATTGGCCAAAAAAGGAATAAAATTCTGATCAATGTTGCAACGTGGATGAACCTCAAGACACTCTGCCAAGTGGCAGCCAACAGACACGAAAGGTCACAGTGTAGGACTCATCTCACACAAAGTGCACAGACGAGGCCCAGCCGGAGCCAGAAGCAGATGGTGGTCTCAGGGGTGCGGAGGGGGGATGGGGAGCCACCATGGAGTGGGTGCAGGGTCTCCTTTTGGGGGGATGAAATGTTCTGGAACTAGATAGAGGTGATGTTCGCACAATGTTGTGAATGTGTTAAATGTCACTGAATTGTTCATTTTTAAAGGGTTCATTTTATGTTATATGAATTTCACCCCAATGTATATTTTAAAATGTCTTTACTGATTTCAGAGAGAGGAAGGGAGAGGGAGGAGAAGAGAGAGAGAGAGAGAAACATCAATGACTGGAGAGTCACTGATCGGCNATATATTTTAAAATATGTCTTTACTGATTTCAGAGAGAGGAAGGGAGAGGGAGGGGAAGAGAGAGAGAGAGAGAAACATCAATGACTGGAGAGTCACTGATCGAGCCCACAACCCGGGAATCGAACCCCGATCGCCTGGATCCTAGGTCGACGCTCAACCGCTGAGCCACGCCCGNCTGCCTCCTGCACGCCCCTTACTTGGGGTCGAGCCCACAATCCGGGCCTGTGCCCTGACCGGGAATCGAACCCTGACCTCCTGGTTCATAGGCCGATGCTCAACCGCTAAGCCACGCCAGCTGGGCTCACCTGAATATTTTTAATTTTTAAAAATTCTTTTTAAAATCCTCACCAGAAGATATTTTTTCCCATTGATTTTTAGAGAGAGTGGAAGGGAGAGCGAGAGAGAGAAACATGGATGTGAGAAAAACACATGGATTGNTGGTTCATAGGCCGATGCTCAACCGTTGAGCCACGCCGGCTGGGCTCACCTGAATATTTTTAATTTTTAAAAATTCTTTTTAAAACCCTCACCAGAAGATATTTTTTTCCATTGATTTTTAGAGAGAGTGGAAGGGAGAGCGAGAGAGAGAAACATGGATGTGAGAAAAACACATGGATTGTCCACTTCTTGCACAAGACCCGACCTGGCCAGGGATCAAACCTACAACCCAGGTTCGTGCCCTTGCCCGGGAATCGAACCCTCGACCCTTCAGTGCATGAGCCAATGCTCTAACCACTGAGCCACAATGGCCAGGGCCACCCCAATTTTTTTTTAAAAAAGGCACCGACCGTGTTGTCCAGAAGCTACGCCTGCAGGCTCCCAGTCGGCAACATCTGCAGTCAGCGTTTCCTAAGCAGCAGCTGGTTGTCAGAGAGGTAAATGGCCCCCCTGCCCAGCGGTGGGTCTTGGGGTTCCTTAGCGGGCTCACCGGATGCTGTACAGGATCACCCCGTCGGGCTGCAGCCGGATGAGTTTGTTCTCCACGGTCACGTCGTGGAACCAGGCGGACTTGGCATTCACGATGAAGGTGTCCGGGAGCCAGAGCTTGTCCACAAAGCGGCTGTCCAGGCCCAGGGTCTCGTTGGTGTGGTTGTAGGAGAGCCTGCTGTCCCGCCAGCTTTGGTGCAGGAACACGGTCATGGTGTACTCCTGGGGGTGGGGGGGGCCCTGCCGTCAGCCGCTCCGTCCCGTCCCCGGGCACGTGGCCACAGGTGGGGCAGAGGCTGGGGGCACCTACCATGTTCACCTCGGATATGTGGTCGATGCTGGCCACCTCAATAGCAAGTGCCACGTTCACAGGGGGGCCTGCGAGGAGGGAGCAGCACTGAGGCCAGAGCCCAGCACCCCAGCCGCTGACCCAGGCCAGTGAGAGCCCAGGCAGGCTGGACAGGGACCAGCCAAGGGGTTCGTAGGGAGGGCCGTCTTGGTACAAGTCTGCCATGAGGCCTGGAGGATCCCCTCTCTCAGCTGTGTCCCTGGGGGCCAGCGCTCAAGGTGTGACACACCCCTCAGGGCAGCCAGCTCAAAGCCAGAGATCACAGCCACCGCCGGACCCAGGGCCCACCCGCCGCCTTGCTCACCTCCAATGCCTGGACGGAAGTTTCGGGCATAGCCCTCCATCAGGCCGTCCAGGTTGGGGAGCCAGGATATCTCCAGGTTGGAGCCGACGTAGTCCCCAATGTCATTCATCGCTCTGGAAATGCAAGGCCCAGTGGTCACAGGAAGGGCACCAGAGATGGAGCCTGGTCCCTACCTGAGGCTGGAGCTCCATCCTGGGCGCCTAGGCTGGGTGGATGGGGAGGACGACTTTGAGAGCCCCTCAGGGCCAGGAGTCGCCCTGGGAACAGGGGGCCCAGCGATGTGCAGAGCCCAGGGCTGCTCCACTCTTCCACTGGCCTCTGCTCAGCTTCTGCCCCTCTGGCTTGGCCTGGGCAGAGTTTGCCAGCGTCAGGCGGAGCCCCCAGCCTGGGATGAGCCCCCAGACTCCCTCCACAAACGACCCACAGCAGGCAGCCAGCTCGAGCCCCCACATTCGGGCCTCTCAGCAGGTAGGCCTCAGAGGACCCCAACAAGGGCACACAGCACCTCTCAGCCCCAAGGAGGAAGTGTCCTGCAGGAGGGGACTTGGGGGGAAAGATGCATGACCAGGAGGCTGAGGGACAGGGGAGGTCACAAACCTGACTCAGGGCCAGGCTGACTGCCCATGGGGGGCTGCAGCCGGTCTCCCAATCTCTGTTCTCTCCCAGACAGGCCCAGGCCTGGCCCCGGAGAAGCCGAATTGCAGGATAATCCCACTGACACCCTGGCAGGGCCACAGTGGGTGTCACGCACACGGCAGGCACCCTGTGTCCCACATTCACCTGACAGCCAGAAGCACTGAGCTCCCCAGCAGCGCCCCTGCCCACCCTCCTGCTCACCTGACAAGGAGTCACGTCCCCAAAATTCCTGTCCACCCAGAACCTCAGAATGGGACCTTATTTGGAAACAGGGTCTTTGCAGCTGTAAGTAGTTAAGATGAGGTCACCCTGGATTAGGACGGGCCCTATACCCAACGACTGGTGTCCTCATTGGAAGAGAGGACACTCGGGAGGAGGCCACCTGGACACGGGGGCAGAAGATGGACAGATGCAGCCACAAGCCCAGGAACCAGAGGCACTGGGCGCTGGGAGAAGCTCACGGCCGCAGAAGGAAGCTACCTGCCCACACCTTGATCTGGTACTTCTGGCCTCCAGAACTGGGAGGGGATCAATGTCTGTTGTTCTAAGCCCCCCCAAAAGTGGTCACTTGTTACAGCAGCCCCAGGGCACTCATACCCCCTCCTGCAGCCCACAGCGGGGACCACACACAGCAGGGGAGGGAGGCAGGACGCTTCGCTAAACCGCAGAGCCAGGAATGACAAGGGGCCTTCAAGAATAACTGTCCTGTTAGGCTCTGAGTCACTTCTATTCTGACAAGGTCACCTTGGGCCCCAAGCCTGGCCTGAGCCCGTGGGGGAGACACAAAGGGCTGGATCTGGAGGCTGCCAGGAGCCCTAAGACAGTGGTTCCCTGTGCCGGGAGACAGACCTGCCCGCCGAATTCAGCCACCGCCCAGGCCCAGGTGCCCACTCTGAAGTGAGAAGACCACTGTGCCTCTGGGTTCCCACTACACTGCTGACCGCTCCTCTCCTCCCAACAGTGGGAGCCACACCCCAGGCTCCCCTGGCCTCCCGCTCGCTCAGGGACTCTCCTTGTCATCTGCAGCCGGGCACCCAGCTCCTCTCCACTGTGCCCATCAGTGCAGCCACGCTGAGGCTCCATGTGCAGCCGGCCTGCCACGTCCACCCCTTCCCTGCGCCCCCCATGGGTCCTCTGCAGCTCACATCCCCTCTCCCCAGCTCCCCACCCTGGCTCCTCCAGACCCATGCTTCCTCCCAGCCTCTATCTCCATCCCCTCCCCTTCCCGCCGGCCACCTCTGTCTTGCCCAGCTCCCCGAATCTCCCCTCACCCAGGGTCAGCACACCCGGGGGCTCTGGACAAGGAGCTCCGTGATTAGGCTCCCAGTTCAACACCAGGGCTCGGACACAGGAGCATGGAACAGACTGAGGCATCTCGGAGGGAAGGCGGGGTGGGCACTGGGAGGGGACAGATTAATCAAAGAACTTAGATGCCTAAATGCATTACCCTTGGACACAGACAATAGTGTGGAGAAGGCCTGGGGGTGGGGCGGGTGCCAAGGGGAAGGGAGCAATGGGGAGAGAAAAAAAGGGAGACATCTGTAATACTTTCAACAATAAAGATAAATTAAAATAAATAATTTTTAAAAGCCATGGTCCTGGTGAGAGAGTGGAAATGTCCTGGGGAAGGAGTATATGAAGGGGGACCCGCCTGGCCCAGACGGGGGGGCCACCAGGGACCTCCCATGTCTGGAGCAGCAGAGGGTGGGGGCTCGTGCTCCAGGGCTGAGTTTACAGCCCCTCACCCTGCACTCTCAGGGGGTCCAGAACCCCGGGGCTGCCTGGGTTTGGGAGCGCCCCCCCCCCCCGTCTGTTCACACGTGGCCTTTTGAAGAAGGCTGACTTTGAACCAGAAGTTCCTTAGCTAATGACACTAGCAGACAGACCCCAGCCTCTCCCGTAGGGCCACCTGATGGCCCAGTCTGGGATGAGGCGGGCGGGGGCTTTGCAACTAAATATAAAAGGGAATTAAAGACTTCCCTCCCCCCCAAGTAAAGCACAGTTAAAAAGGCAAATGGAGCCCTGGCTGGTTTGGCTCCGTGGTTAGAGCGTCAGCCCGCAGACTGAAGGGTCCCGGGTTCGATTCCGGTCAAGGGCATGTGCCTCGGTTGGAGGCTCCATCCCCGGCCCCGGTTGGGGTGCGGGCGGGAGGAAACCAATCAACGTGCCTCTCACACCGATGTTTCTCTCTCTCTCTCCCCCTTCCACTCTCTCTGAAAAGCAATGGAAAAAATATCCTCGGGTGAAGATTAAAAAGAGGCAAATGGAGGCCACGCTGAAGGTCGATGTAAAGAGACCTGAAATAGCTTTATTTTTGGACTGGCCCAGCTGCCGCCCAGTGGCAGCCGCAGCCTGGAACGAGGTCGGCAGGAGACGCCGTCCTTCCCGGGCCTCAGGGTTGGGGCACAGGAGGGGACACTCCCTCCGCCCAGTCCCACCCCCACCCCGGGGGCATGAGGGTGAGGCCCGGGGTCTGCCCCCACCGGGCAGCTGGCCTGGAAGAGGCGGGACGCTGGTACCCTGTTTAGCCTCTGCCTCCCCCAGCCTGGGGGCGAGAAGGGAACAGGCTCCCCCTGAGGATGCTTCTCACCTAAGACAGGGGCCGGTGGTTTCCACCTGTGAGATGTGGAGGGTACCCTGCCTGCTGCCCTGGGTTCTAGGGGCCAGTTAGGGGGCAGGCGAGCCCAGGGAGCTGAACCAGGGAGCCCAGGATGGGGGGGAATGCAGTCACTCTCACCAGCACCTTGGGAGAGGGATCGTGACGAACCAGGACCCCAGCGGTGGCCCCGGGTTGGGGTTTCCTCTGGGGAGATGGACAGAAGCTCAGAGACATGGGCCTGGCTCACCCCCCTGGGGCGGAGAGGCCGCCGTGGAGTGAGAGGCAGCACCCGCCCTGCGCTCTGGGTGTCGCAGACCTGCCTCCCTCTCCCGCCCCCTGAGAACCGAACCCACCCCCGTCACTCGTCTGTGCCCCCCGGGGACAGGAGGAGCAGGTGGGTGTCGCTGAGCAAAGCCGTGCGGCCATCCTCCCTCCAGACCCTTCCCTCCGGCACGCACAAGCCCACGGATCCCTGACGGCTCTGTTTTTAGAGCAACACCAGCCACGCTGGTGCCTCAGTTACCAAGGCAAAGAGGAGCCCCGCCACGAGCACACCGGGAGCTGGCGAGGCAGGAGCTGCAGGCGCCGCTGCTCCAGGGAGGCCGAGGTGCCAGCAGCCGGGGAAGGCCACCCACTCAGTGTGCAGCTGGTGAGCTCGGTGCCCACGCGTGGCCAGACTCAGGGGAGGCACGGCTTTGACCCGGCCCACCCACGCCGCACAGCGCACCGCCGCTCATCCCACCCAGCTTCTCCCACCAGGCCCCCTGGGCTGCCGCCTGAGCCGGCAGCCAGAACGGGCGCCTCCTGTGAATCCCACATCCCCCCGCTGCAGGGGTGAGGGCCGGGGTGCTGAGGGGCCAGGGGTGCGGTCCTGCTTTCTGGGGTGGAGGGACACAGAAGCTGATGGAAGGGAGGCCGTCTGAAGGTCGCCCGCCAAGGCCCACAAAGCAGGGGGCTCTCGTTGGGCCCGGCCACAGCCTCACAGCCTTTCTGCCCAGACAGACACATCCGTGCCCAACACCCAGGAGCCGGGCGGGGGGCGGAGTGCAGAACATTTCAGACTTTAGGGAGGTGACATGGTTCATGGGCAGACTTGGGGGGTCTAGAGAACTTCCCAGCAGGATAAGTGTAAATTCACCCTGAAACAGGGCTAAGAAAGGCAACTGAACCTCTTGTCTGAGTGGGGCAGGCTTTGCCACCAAATGAGTTTTGGGGTCAAACTTGGGCTAAGAGGTTAGGTAGGGTTCAGAGAGCCTTGGATTTCAGATCTCACAGCCGTGGCCGTGGGCCTGGGTCAGCAGCTGATTGGGGGGCCCGGCTCAACCTACGCCTTCCTGCTTCTGTGAGGTGGGGAGTGGGGAAAAGGAAGGCCCCCCATATGCCCTCCGAGGACAGGTGCACCTGCACTGCCCGGGGTCCTGGGCATGGGGGCCGCGCCACTGCTGGACCTGGGCCTTCCTGGCTCTGCCCCCACCCCACCGACAAGGAAACTCTGACCACATCACCACCACCCCCAAGTGCGTGCCTCCTGAGCGCCTGCAGCCAAACCCAGGCCGGCGGCCGGCCACTCCGTTCTCTAGTCTTTTTGACATCAGTTTGCTGACCATGACGTCCCGGCTACGGGGGTGGGGGGCCTTTGTTTACTCTGGTTTCTCTGCAGACCCCTTGCACCGGAAGGCCCCTCACAGCCCAGTGCTCAGGCTGCTGGGTGGCTGGAGCCCATTTCAAGTGCCCAGAGAGGAGAAAAGCGAGCTGGGGCTGTGCCTGGCCCTGGAAGCTGGAGGGAGGGAGCCTCTGTCCCCGGGAGCCTCTGCTCTTACCCTTTTCCTTCTCTGGGTCCCCTCCCGACCTCAGGAGGAACCCCAGTGTTTCCAGC